GCATGTCTTACATTTTTTCACCGCACACTTGTGTGTTTTATCTGCACTACTCTTGGGAGTGTAGTAGGAAAGTTGACAATCTACACACTTTTTGTGTAAATCGCAGTTACTGGCAATGTCTGATGATCTCTGTGTCTGTTTTTTATGTCGGTAGTGACAGCCAGCCGTACGACACGTTTTGTTACAGTCTTTACAAAAGATGGGTTTAAACTCGTCCAGAGTACATGAGGGGTCAAGACAGACATAACAATGACCAGTACAGGAATGACTCCATTGAGAGCTGTAGCCTGTGTAACAATGTTCACAGACAAATGCAGAGCCTAAAAACCCCTTCAAGTTTTTAATCCCATAGTAGTGGTTTTTGAAGAGAAACAAAAACACAGTTTTGTCTCGTTTGGGACCCTCTGTCTGGAATTTACAGTGAGTACGATCTTCATCGCCTCTGTAAAATACCACAATCTTGCATTTTAAACTCTCTTCGAATTTAACAATGTCGTTGAATGTCACAGCTGTCTGATCTGTCAAACCCACCCTCCTTTGAATATCTTTACCACGTTCAAAACCTTCTTTATCAGTGAGGTTGTCATGCAACAACAGTGCTAAATTAATAGCAAAACACAGCTGGTTAGACGGATTCTGTACAACGTACAGAAAACGCCCCTTCTTTTTAACAATCTCATTGTCCAACATTTTACCAGCCAATCGTTTAGCTCCACCACCACGGGGGGATTGTACAATTTGCACCACTAACTCGAGGTTACTGTCTGCCATTACCTCCAAATTTGACTGTACAGCATTGAATAGGGCCTCCTCAAAATCAGCTAGATTATCATCATTAGCATTCAAAATGGCTGACACATTAGCCTGTAGCTGCTCGCCCCGGAGCTCAACCTGAACAATATCTTCCCTCTCTGCCCGTGAAAAAGCATAATTTACCATATCCTGTACATTGTTCATCAGAACCCCATAATAGGATGCAGTGGCGGTTCTAGAACATTTTACATGGGGGGGCAAAGGGGAGGCAAGAGGTCATGCCAGGGTGGCATAGGAGGGCGGACAGTACGTGGTATTTTATACTGTATATAACCTATTTATTGTTAATTCATGCCCTAACACAAGTGTTCTTAATGCACAAGAGAAACAAGGTGTTCAGTTCAGACAAACAATCGGGTGCCCTTTGAGTCCCCCAAGCTTACCTCAACCATTTTAAATGAAAGGAAACTACAAAATGTATTTTAAAGCAATGAATTAATGGAATAGGTTGTTTTGCATTACAATGTAAAATTAAATATATATTTTGTTTTAAAACAAATTGGTTGTCTTCAGACATATTTGCATGTCCTCACTAAGCATTATTACATATTAATTTAATATTAAACAAATCAAAATGGCCAATTATCCCAAAATGTTGCTGCTAATATAATCATATGCTTGTCAACTTTAACTGATCAAAAATCAATTCTGAAAAAATACTTGAATTATCTATGAAATTGCAATATTGTCCCTCAGTTTGTTTCAACCCCGTCACGCCATATAATTTACCCTCCTATTAAAATAATGGATCAGTCCGTGATCTGCATTGAGGGAATTACATCACAAAAGTGTCAGTTTCTTCTCTTACCTATATTTCAGTTTTTGTATTTTCAGATTAAGATTGACAAGCTCAACATTTCAACTCTGTTTTATGAATTAATAATAGTGAATAATTGTTTATTACAAAAATAAACAGTAGTTTTGCAAAATATTACAATTTTGTAATGACCTTGACTTCCATGTGGTGCCATATCTTAGCTAAACAAGGTCTCATGCCTACTTTTTGTCAAAAACTTCAACCCTGTTACATTTTTTCAAGGAAATTCCTAGTAATTATTTATATTTTGTGCCTGAGGTGGGAACATGTAAGTAGTCCACTACCAGATGTTATGACCAAACATTTTGGTTTAATTTTTCAAAGATATAAAGACCCAAAAGGCACCCGATTCAGAGAATACTCAGAATTCTGCATACTGTAAGTACTTAATTATAATTAAGTACACAAATGACATCACCCATCTCTTCAGAGAGCTAAAGGTGACCTGTGCAGCAACACATTTCAATACATATTTGTCAATACTAAGAGCTGCTAGATTGTGCTGCTGTAATGGAATATGTAAGGAGAATAAGAACACACCATGTGGTCCAGCTGGAGTCTCCTCTGCCTCCTGATCCCTGGCTCTGGCCCTCTTTCTGATACTTCATCTGTATTCCTCACATATATTTCTTCTTCTTCACTAATGTCTTCATCTCCTCCTCTTCCTCCTGCTCTGACCCTCCTGGTCTCTTCATCTCTCTTTTCCTTTTCCTCTTTTTGTTCGTCCTGATCACTTCTCATATGTATTTTTGTTGTGGTTGAATCACTCCAATACTCTGGCCTGCAAGAGTCTACTTGTGAAAAGCACTGGTACAAATGCTTGTATAACTTTACACGTTAGGGCCATGTAGCCTAGCTAATATGTAGCATATCATAAATATAACATCAGAAAGTATTGATCAAACGCACACAGGCAGCTGTGTTTGGATCCAGTTTTTACTGTAAAGGATGTATCCTGGTTTCATTGATCTGGCCTCATGGCTGTGATGTGTAGTTTACGTGGATTTAATAGTAGGCTACCGCGTAGTTTAGCAAAGTGATCGATCTCCCAGCTAACGCTGTCTGTGTAGTATTTTGTAACGTAACGCCCCAAACAGCGCCCGTCTGTTAAACGCTATAGATTCAAACGGCAGCGTTTTATTAAGGCGAGACACGGCAGGCAAAAACATCGTTTTTCAAGTACTGGTCAATTTTGAGATTTTGTGCTATTTTGATTCCATAACATGTTTTCTTTCAGGCTTTTGGAAGGAAAACGTACAAAATACACATTTAAGTGTTTATTTTACTATAGTTTGTCTATTTGCGTCTGTAGATTTCTCCTAAATTCACCAAAAGTTAGCATTCTAACGTAACATAAAGTACCGGGACCGCTGTGTGCACCATGTCAACAGAGGTATCGCTGGAAAGCTCCGTCTCTCCTGCACAATCTCATCGGATCCAAATATGGTCATTTCCTTTGTATCAGCAACCAATCGTGAAAGCACAAAGGGGTCTTAAACCAAGAAACAAAATCTCATTGGCTGGTGTCAATTTCTGACAACGTGATTCGTTCAGATGCGTCACATGGTGTGCTAAAACACTTCTTGGTTAGCTTTCAGCTAGAAATTGAAATCTCAAAATGCCAAAAGAACGGCGAAAAAAACGTTCACAGAGAAGACGACAACAATTGTCACTTGCACGAAGCAAGGTTAGATAAAAAAAAATGACCCTGAACATGAAATACCTTCACGGAGTGCGTCCCTCCTGTTCTTCATCCAAAGAACAGGAGGGTTTAGCTAGCGCCTCACTGCAATCTTTAAAGGTCGTTTTCTCAAAATGAGTTTTTTCTCCTACTCTGAGTTCGAAATGTCAACTTCAGTAGCACGTACATACACCAAACCTTCCAGTTATATTCCTATCAATATTATGAAGGCTTTTACAGAAGGGTTTGTTCATATATAATTCATAGCCTGAATTATACAACATTGTATACCTAAAAACATGGCGAAAATGGATATTTTAGGGCTGTTGACAGTATTTTCTGATTTATGGAGTGATAAAAAGAGATATCCAATATCCCTTCTGTAAAAGCCTTAGATACTAATATGACTACAAAATGAAACAAGAATTTTGAATCTGGCTATATCCAAAGTTCAGATTTCGATTCCTGAAATGTGTTAAAATATGTGCATATTTAATGAGATAATGGATCATTTGCATATTTAAACATGCTATTTCAGAAAACTTGTAATACAAAAGACAATTGCCTTATTGTAAGGAATTAACTGGAGAAATTTCTAGCTGATACCTTTAAGTTAAAAAATGTACCCTATTCACCTGGGGTGTCTCGCCTTAATATTTAGTTTCAAGCTCTCGTCCTTAGTAAAAACAAAACTAGTGGAAAGGGAAATGCTCCCAGGGGAAGCTGATCCATAGGTGCTGGGACAGCTCGCTCCCTCTCTGCAGCGGTGTGAGCCGCGGTCTGTGTGAACGCCGCTCCGCAGTTTAATGCAGGGCCGTAGCTGCGTTTTTAACGGGCCTAAAATGATATTTAAAATGATTCAATTTTAACTAATGTAATGCTTGTTTTGTTGCTTGAGAAGTTTGTGGAAATAGTGTAGGTTTGTTTTAGTACAGTTTTAGGGAAACAAAAGTTAGGGGGGCAGCTGGGGGGGCAAAGCTCTACAGTGGGGGGGGGCAGCATCCCCCCCTTGCCCCCCCGTAGATCCGCCCCTGCTAGGATGTAAAGTCTGCTTCATCATTAGGAAGGGTTAGGACTAGAGACTGACGCAGTTCTGTGTTATTGAATACAGGTCGAGACAAGAAACTTGGTGTGGCATTTCGGTTAGCCCCCCCTCCATGTTTTAACGAGGGGGCTGGTGATTCTGAAGCATTCGGGGTGTCATTCTGATCAACATGTCCACCACTTTGCATGGAGGAAACTGGTGATTCTGAGTCACTCGGCGTGACACTAACATATCCACCATTCTGCACGGTGGAAACTGGTGATTCCGCAATGGTTGAAGCTATGCTATTTGCTCCATTCAGATGGAGTACTCCGTCTGCGAGCTGATTTAAAAGCCCTAGATCAGGGTAAGTGTCAGAGTCTTGATAGAATTATAATACCCATTCCAAAGCGCTATCTAAGGTTGTGGGATGGCTTGAGTTTGTTTGTGATGAGGTGGTAGGTTCTTCGTCGTTTAACTCACTGATATTGCCCGAACACTGAGGAAATTACATATCTCCATACACGAATTCCTCATCACTGCTTAGTTCATTTATGTCGTTTATAGACTGAAGAAAAGACATTTCTCTATCTGCTAAATCATCCATGTTTGACCGTTTATGAAACCAAATCAGAAATACATTTGTCACAGCTGAAGAAACATACCGTTCGGTTACATCGGCATCAATTTACATGAGACCCTCCAGCTTATTCAGTGGGTGTGTCCATAAAGTTGGCAATAACAGCAGTGGGGGTCCTCCTGGTAATAGCTTGACTGATCTATACAGAAAAAAGACAGAGAAAAAGAAGGATAAGTATTTGAAAAACACAAGATTATACATTTAACAATTATTCATTTATCAAACATCTTGTAAAATAACCATAAAACTCATTTACCGGGGTGATATCTCGTCAGGAGGGGATCTGTGAGGAGTGCTATATCGACCTGAATCTCACGTAGAGTCTGTGCTGATAGTTCACCCTCGACCTGAGGACTAGGGGCTGAGTCTGTCTGGCTCGATATGAGCATGTCTGGGACGGACTCGAAGTCGTCCAAATAGGCACTGTAAGTGTCAAAATCGGCCTGCAGTTCTGGCGGAATGAAAGGTTTCAGATCCGAGCGGTTGCAGGGGGGCGTTGAAAAGGGGCGTGTATGCCTGGTTATCTGAGTCCCGGGGGAGGGTGACGGCTGTCCTCAGGGGGTCTGCAGTTATCTCAAAAGGTAGGCTGAGTGCGGACTCCACAGGGGGAAAGTTTTGATACACTGACGGAGGGTTTGTGTTGTAGACTTCATCACCTTTTTTAACAAAAGAGTAAAAAAATACATTATTCAGGGTTACTTTGCACATAAAAAACACATTTGATTTCAAAATAAAATACAATTAGTTTAAATATACTCACTTTCCACAGGGGGTGAATTAAGGTAGGCTCCAAGTACAAAGCAGATTATTTCCAATACTAGCGGCCCTATCTGACTCAGAATATCCTGAGCTGAGACACACAAAAAAGATTTGATTAGAATCCACACCATATTACTTTATACTTTTCTAATAAAAAAACATGTTAAAAGAAGTAAAAGAAAAAGAAAAACAGAAACTCACCTAGTATTTCAATAATCCTATGACCCCACACATTAGGGTTTTCAGCACACAGGATCTCTACTGCAAACAGAAAAAACATAAACAAAATTTCAAGTATCTAATAATATACTATCCACATAATATATATGTATATATATATATATATATATATATATATATATATATATATATAAACAACATTTAATAATTACATGATATTATAAAATAAGTACTTACCACATTGTTTTGTGATGACATCCAGGTCAATAAAGCGCAGAGCTGGAATGGTAGGATAATTCATCATCTGGTTTCTTCAACTGTAGAGATCATGTCGCCTTATAAAACCCCAAATAACAATGCCAGGTCATGGCCTCCAAAAACTGACCAATCGATGAGTCCTTTTATCCAGGTGATTAGCTATGCGTCTTCTGCCCCCCACAGAGTGAGACACAGTGCCTGCATTTGATCTCCAGTAGACAGAAAAAGCCTTGTATGTTTTTTGTAAATGACTATTTTAATTTACCCTCAGACTGTTGTTTAAGTATTTTAAGTGTTTACAGCTTTTCTTTTGTTCTGATCAGCCACCCTGGAGCCGTCATGGAGTGAACACATTTTTAAGAAAACCTATCTTTTATGGATACAGCAAAATTATAATATTACACCCATACAACCTAACACAAACTTCATATTGGGTTTTCCTTATAGTGGTGTAAAATAATTATTAAAAAAAGACAAAGATCATGTTTTTAAAATTGTTTTATTATTTCCCCTCTTCAGAGAGAATTTTCTTATAGTTAATACAAGTAATAACACATTAGTTCACAATCCATACATCTAAAGAGAATATCCTTAGGTATCACTATTAGAAAACCTAAATAAGATCTTTTGAAATGAATATGAATACCCTCTTTGCAAAAACAGATACTTCCTTGTAGTTAACAGGTTCACAAAAACTTGAAAAGAAACATCCTTAGCCAGCCCAAATCATTTAAAACAAAACTTGAATCAAATCTAGAGAGGACAATAACGTTTTTTAGGTGTCTTGGTGAGTGAAAATTAATGGCTGTTTTTATTTAATTTGAGCTTATTTCTTTTTTTTTTAAACTAACTTCATCCCCTCTCTTCTCATCTCACAGAGAGTGTCTTAATTAACATAGTCATTTACAAAAAACATCCCAGGCTTATCTCAACCCTCACATCAAGGGGGACCTCCAACGTGTGTGTGTGTGTGTGTGTGTGTGTGTGTGTGTGTGTGTGTGTGTGTGTGTGTGTGTGTGTGTGTGTGTGTGTGTGTGTGTGTGTGTGTGTGTGTGTGTGTGTGTGTGTGTGTGTGTGTGTGTGTGTGTGTGTGTGTGTGTGTGTGTGTTGTGTGTGTGTGAATTGTTCTTAAAGGTAGGGGTAGATCATTTTGCAGAAACCAGCTCGAGTGAGCTATAATTTGAAAAGTACACAACCGGGGGAAAATCTGCCACTTCCTCACAGAGCCCCTCCTCCAACACACATGAACGCGCACATGACCAAAAGAGGGCACGAGATAAGTTTGTGCACAGATCTTTCAGCGTCTGAAAGACCGCACTGCTGCTGCTGCATTCGTTTCTTGACTGGTGCTCCGGACGTATGGCGGTAAGTTGTCACAGGCTGAATAAACCCCATTCGAGGCGTCTCTTGCCATTTTTCTTTTTTGAAAGGTGACTTGGTAAATGGAAATGACTGTCTTTTTTATTTAGTTTTGAGCATATTTCTATTTTCACCTAATTCGATCCCCCACTATCTGCTGGAGTCATAGCCACAGGAAGGGGGTAGAAAAAAGGGGGAGAGCCTGGGAGGGGGCGGGTAGACAGTCTCACGCATAACTTCAAAGAGACACCTAGATTAACATCAAAGGTTTATAGCACACCAGTGTGAACTCACACCTGCCTGTTATAACACCTCACATCAAAGGCAAACACCAAAGGCTAATTAGATTATACAACAAAGGGCTCTGAGGGGCAGGGGGCCACATCATAACTTCAAAGAATCTGCCTTAATCAACACATCAAATAACTAGACTACAAAGGGGTGTGAGGGGACAGGGACCATACAACACAACTTCAAAGAGACTTAATCAACACATCAAAGAATTAGACAACAAAGGCGCTAGCCAGGGGGCTTTTCACATCTACCTGTTATAACACACATCGAAGGATCTCGAACAAAGGCGCTACGCAGGGGGGCATTTCACACCTACGTGTGATGACACCTCACCCCTCACATCAAAGGATCTCGAACAATGGGAGGCGGGACTTAGTTCATTTGCATAATTGGGGGCGTGTCCACCGGTCACTTTTCATGCATACTAATGAGACGAAAGCGGCATGTGTACTACTACTTCTGCTGCTCTGAGCATGTCAGTTGGAGTGATGACATCATGTGTGTGTGTGTGTGTGTGTGTGTGTGTGTGTGTGTGTGTGTGTGTGTGTGTGTCTGTGTGTGTGTGTGTGTCTGTGTGTGTGTATGTGTGTGTGTGTGTGTGTGTGTGTGTGTGTGTGTGTGTGTGTGTGTGTGTGTGTGTGTGTGTGTGTCTGGATGTACAGTGTGTGTGTACAGAGACAACTAAATATACAGTAGATTTGGTTTACAGCAAGTCGCAGTTTTCGCCTCATATCTTTCTTTCTTTCTCTCTTTTTCTCTCACTCCCTCATTCCCAAACTCATACACACTCTTACATTTTAAACCTCCTTATTGAGTATGTGTGTGAGTGATTGTGTGTGAGAATGAGACAGGACTAAGTATGCTCTCATGGCATTTTGTTTTTCATTTGTGCTGTTTCATGTGTCTTTGAGGTAAACAGATGTATGATCTTGACCCAGCTTGACCTCAATGTTTTGAATTGTTTGGAAAGTCCTTTGATAGTGTCTCTTTAGCAAACAGACATACACAGCGATACATACACTCCTTGAAGTAAATAAAGACACCTGGCTGCAAAGCCAAAGCTTCAAATATGTGTAGTTTGGCTGGATGGTAATTTCATTCCTGTGATACGCAACAAGCAGTAAGATGAAGAGGAGCTTCTCTGTGGGACAAGAGGTCTCATGCAGCCCGTAACTTCAACTGCAGGACTCATCCTCTGAAACATAAACACCCTGAGAAGGAGAATCTGGTGTGGATCTGCCTGAACTGTGCTTGAAAGGAGTCAGCACAAAGATAAAACACTTTTTTGCCAAACATGAGAAGTAGAATCTGATGTGGAGTTTGTAGTGGAGTCTGATCCTTCTTCGTCTGACCCTTCCCCTGAAAGTGGAGAGGACACAGAGGATCCCATCCCATAGCTGAGCTACATTCCTCTGCACTATCCTATCTGGAGGACCGTGTCCATCATGGCAGTGGGTGGACATCAAAACATTTTCAAATCTGGTTTCCCTCTCACGAGGAAACACTGCGCTACATTCCTGCTGCCAGAGGTTTGGTTTCAGGGCCCACGCGTTATGCCATTACGCGTGCGTTACATTATGGCATAAATAACAATGACGTGGAATCCTTCTTTGATTTATTCTTTACCCCTGAGATCATCAGCAGTATTGTCGGCATGACACACCTGCATGGGGGACGTTCGGTGGCAAACTGGAGGGATGTTGATGCCACAGATGTTTGAGCAAACATTGGATAGGATAGTGCAGAGGAATGTAGCGCAGCTACGGGATGGGATCCTCTGTGTCCTCTCCACTTTCAGGGGAAGGGTCAGACGAAGAACGATCAGACTCCACCGCAAACATCTGATTATTTCTCTAAGCATGGCTTCACGTGGCGGCGCAACGAATATTCTTGTTACTCCTGGGGCAATCTCTGGTGCTATCATCCCCTTTGTGGTGTGATTGAGGAGAAGATCACTAAGCACTTTAGTGAACCTCAGGCTTTTTCCATCTAAAAGGTTTTGTAGTCCTTCATACATCTCAACCTCATCACCATCGTGTTGTTCCTCAGCAGTTCCTCAGCAGCTCCTCTGCAGCTCCTCAACCTCCTCAGCAAAGGACCTCATCGATTCTTCTGTATCAGGAGTGGCCAACCCGCGGCTCTCGAGCCGCATGCGGCTCTTTGCCCAGTCTCATGCGGCTCCTCAATTCATATCGAATTGTAATTGTGTTTTTTTTTTAACGCATATGTATCCCAGTTCACAAAGGGTTAACAACACACAAAGAAGTGCTGTCGCCAATCAGAATGCAGATCCTGCAGTACTGGAGGCGGGCTTTACTGCACTCGCGATGTGACAGTGAAGGGAGAGATCTGCTTCTGATTGGCAGAAATATAACTCTGATAAAACCGTAATAACTCAATATAATGTTGTCAAATCAAAATGGTAACAATTTGCAGTGGTATATGTGAGAAGGCCTGCTCCCGGAAAGCTGGCAACTGGCACAGAAGGACTCACGAATTTGGTGATTCGCGGTAAAAAAATAAAAAAGAGAGAAAGTGCATCTCTGTCAGCAGAGCTTCTGTCAGTCAGAGGGTTAGGTAAAAGTTGAGATGTCATGTTAGGAGAATTAACTAAAATACACGTCATTTATTTACATTTATTTTGAAATGACGGTCATGAATGTGCGTGTGAGATACAGGCAGAATAAAGGCCAGGCATATTTTTATTAAATGATGCTCTTTCATGCATTTGAGCCCCTTCCACATCCTCTGCACATTTCAAAGAGGCAACATGCATAGTAAGATAACTACTTTTTTCAAATGTTTTTAACTGAGAGTTTGTGTGTGAGACACAATATTAATGATTGACAATAACTGGCCTCTGGTCTTAATACTGGTAGGAGAGGTTTAAGTCAATTTCTGTCAATATCATGCACTGTGACATTTATAGGAAATCTGGCTGAGCAGAGGTATATGTTTCTGTATGTGAGAGGGTGTGTGTCTCTATGGGAGGGTGTGTCTTTGAGTGTGTGTGTGTGTGTGTGCGTGTGTGTGTGTGTGTGTGTGTGTGTGTGTGTGTGTGTGTGTGTGTGTGTCAATTATTGTTCATTTTTAGATTTTCATTTTGTATGTGTGAGAGAGAGGTCGGGGCACACAGAAAGGCTGAGTGCAAAAGAGAGAAGGAGAGAGAGAGGTCGGGACATACACCCAGCATGTGTGTATGATGTGGCTCTTTGCAGTAACACAGTAAAATGATTGGCTCTTTACCTCTGATTGGTTGGCCACCCCTGTTCTGTATCAACGTGGGATTCGGGGCAGAATTGTTCCTTCTTCTCTGCCCCCATCCGATAAATGAACTGTTTGTCAAACCGTTTGGCAAAAAGGTGTTTTATCTTTGTGCTGACTGCTTTCAAGCACAGTTCAGGCAGATCCACACCAGCTTCTCCTTCTCAAGGTGTTTCTGTTTCAGACGATGAGTCCTGCAGCTGAAGTTACGGGCTGCATGAGTCCTCTTGTCCCACAGAGAAGCTCCTCTTCATCTTACTGCTTGTTCCGTATCACAGGAATGAAATGACCATCCAGCCAAACTACACATATTTGAAGCTTTGGCTTTGCAGCCAGTTGTTTTTATTTACTTCAAGGAGTGTATGTATCGCTGTGTATGTCTGTTTGCTAAAGAGACATTATCAAAGGACTTTGAAGTTCCAAACAATTCAAAACATCGAGGTCAAGCTGGGTCAAGATCATACATCTGTTTACCTCAAAGACACATGAAACAGCACTAATGAAAAACAAAACGCCATGAGAGCACACTTAGTCCTGTCTCATTCTCACACACAATCACTCACACACATACAAGGTATAATATGAGTGTGTATGAGTTTGGGAATGAGGGAGTGAGAGAAAAAGAGAGAGAAAGAAAGAAAGATATGAGGCGAAAACTGCGACTTGCTGTAAACCAAATCTACTGTATA